AATACTTTATCCATTGTGACATCATCTATGGGTCACCAATACTTTATCCATTGTGACATCATCTATGGGTCACCAATACTTTATCCATTGTGACAACATCTGATCGTGACATTATCTAATATACGTCAATGCTTTGCCCTATGAGATCTACAATGAAAGAAAAGACACATGCAGCCTAAGGGATTGAAAAGGAAATGCCTGTGCCTCAAAATCAATGATGATAGTAAACTAGTAAGTTTGAAAATTTTATAAAGTTTTTATTGTAAGGTCAAGGACCGTGCAGCACCCTAAAAAGTGGATTGAGTGTGATAGTGTGCATAAGATTAAAAGTGTGTGTGCGGTGGGAGGGGGAAGAGGGCTGAAACTTAAACATTTAGTGGATATTTACAACAAGTGGGGGGTTGGGAAAAACATCTAAAAACAAGCTATTTGATAACTCAAAAAATGTTGCAGACCTAAAGGAACACTCTAGATTTTAACTCAAGAATTGTTGATGGTATCTTTATTATTATTTTTGGTTTCTAAAAGATTGCAAATCACAACATGGAAATGAATTAATGCGAATCAAATAACACGACAATGTGTTTAGTATCTTATAGTCTTCCTTTAAACACCTACATTGGTATCCCTTGTATGGTTTTTCTAGATCTCTGTTGCGAAGAGAAGACGGAAAACCTGGACTATAAAAACTAGGAAAAAAAGAAACTTTTGTGCAGCGACCAAGTCATTAACCATCAGTTAGCCACCCTCACTCAACAGTAAGCTGCAAACACAGGTTTGAACAAAAGAAAAGAATGCCAAGGAGGCAATCGCGAGAGAATATATGGTTGTAAATGGTAAGTGCACAGGTCGGAAAGTATGAATTTGTCGTCATTTATTATTCTAGAATTGCGTCAAATATTGATAGGTCTGGTTGCAAATCATTTTCTCATGATGTTTTATAAACATAAGTAGGATGAAACAAACAGAAATTATTTGTCTCGGGGGGGGGGGGGGGGATTTTAATAGTAAGCTATGACTCGCAATCGTATTGGTCAGCAATCTTTCAGGGAAGGAGAAAAACAACCGACACTAACCTGGCAGTTTGAATTTAGTTTCGCGTGAAAAATCCCGAATTATATTTAAAATCAATCAATCAGTTAACTTTCTTTGAAGCAGGCGACACCCAAGCAATCAGCAGAGCTAACAAAAAATGTGGCCCTTAAACTTAAGGCCATACTTTAATAGCCTGTGTACAGCCACTTCCCACCCTTCCCCCAACGGGGAAAGACATTTTTCCCGTTCGGAGGGGTACACAGACTATACTTCCACCGCTCCCTTCTAAGCCAGTTACGTCAGTTAACAATTGTTCACTTGAGCGCGGCCGTGCTTGACTGAATTTGTAATTTCTAGCGACCTCTGTCTGACGACAGCCCCTTGTGCGGTTATTCGGCCAACGCTCGCCGTCTAGATTCTTTCGAAGCTAGCAGAATACCGATCACGTTTGATATAAGCGATGACGAAATTCACGAAATCCAAGGGAAATCCATCTGTTTTGAAAATGCAGTCTAGCCAAAGCGATCCAGCTGACAGCGGTTGCTGCGTTTAGTGGTTGCGATGGTAACAGTTTAACCGCCGACATGATGTTATCACGTGGTTGATCACAGCATTTTTCGACACTAGCTAGCCTCCTCCGCAGGCATTTCCTTGACTCTTTTTGCTCCTTGGGCTTCCTGTGTCCCCACTCCTCCTCCTCTCTCTTTCCTAGTTCTTTTCTGCCATAAAATGTAACACAGGGATCCCAACAGAGAAAATATGGGGTTCCCTGCGGAAGACGCTAGACACTAGCCAAATTTGCATACGATCAAGACTCCTTTATTAGGGCCACTTATAAACTGATAAAACCGACACGATACTTAACAGATCGTGTACGCAAGGACACGTAGTGTGACTAACTCATAGACATGCTGAGTGATCGTGACCCATTATCGTCACAAATGAAATTCCTCGCGAACCTAGAATCTTTCAGTGCGCGACATGTAAGAATTTTCGAACAACCGGTTTGATTACGAAGATCGGTCAACTGGAATTTGAACTTAGCTAATGGAGCTAGAATGTCACGGATGAGGAGATCTTGTCTCGTACAGGGATTTACGATGATAGCTCACTGTGATAATTGAAAAAAGTGGGGAGTAACTCTATATACTTGTGTTCAAGTACAGCCATTAAGATAATCCATGCACCACTTTAGATTAGTGTTTGGTAACCACTCTCTCCTGACACTTGTTATGTCAATCTTTACCCAGAATTTCGAAATATCTAAGTCATGCATCTTCACCGAGTTAATATTCCAAATGCTTACTATATAGGCTTTTGCGCATTTGATCATATCATTGCATGAATTTGGGCATTGTAAGTAACAAGCATTGATATTAGAGAGCATGCAGTAAAACCATGAAATAAAAACAAAGTTGATACTGACAAATAGTAGTTATTTAGTGAATAATAGTTGCTATCACCCAACCAGAACATGACTACGCAAAAGACAAATACACATATTTGTGTTCTGGTTGAGTGATACAAGTATGAGTCACTAAATAGCTACTATTTGTCAGTATCAACTTTGTTTTTATTTAATGGTTTTTCTGCATGCGCTCTATGAAACTCGTCTTTCTTATATATTTTTTTATTGTTTTATATAGTGTATGTGTGCCGCAGCGTTTGTTGAAGCTTACCACCCAATGATCACAAAACTTAACTCAGTTTACGCATTCCTTAATTAATTTAAACTCAATTGAAACCTAAAGTTGAGGCAATGCAATATAACTCTATTCATACTCGACATGCACAATGAGCAAGACATTCGAGGAATATAAAATCATATAATCTAAATGATATATAAATGATACAATAAGCAAGAGTATGAATTCTATTGTCATAGGATTACAAAAAGCTTCTAGACGTGCCTTCATTTTCACAACGTGCAGTCCTAGACTTGATTATTTAAATATACCTCACGTACACATGTCGGGTATATTGGGCCGACTGGTATATTTAAGAGTTCAAAATAATTCACCCGTTTAGTATGTGTCTGTCTTTCTGCCCTAGCATTGCAACATAACATCGCTACCACTCAGCAGTGATATACCTCTGAAGAACATTGAAGGTAAATAACAATTAAGATAAATCAGTAGAGTGCAAACAAATGATATCCGTGAAATATTAGAAATACTATTTCTTTTGTTTAACTAGCAATATTTTGAACAAGTTTTTAGATAGAAACATCAGTAGATAGAAATCTCAAAGGGTAGCAGATTTTACCAAATTTTATCACATTTTTGGTAAAATTAAAGCTAGTTGCTCAGTCGTATTTTATCTCAGACATCTCTGATGAAATTGATACATGAGGTTCAAGTACTAGACCCTGAATTCGTGAATTCTTTTGGGTTCTAAAAATTGCCAAGGCACGAGCGATAATTAAAAGCTACCGGGCTGAGCCGTTTGCACACGAATATACCAGGAAGTAGGTTTTTCGAATGACAACTAAATCCTTTTTTCAGTTCGTAAATGTGAATCACTATCGATAGCGCGCATACAGCACTATGGATGGCATTAGGCGGTGCTCATATCATTTTACCAAGACTAAGTATCTTCAGTGATGGTCGCATGTGCATGACTGAAAACGTGTTCAATACCAACAACCAGTGGCAGTTGCCTGATTAAATACTAGCCGCTTTATAATAGTTTTATATAGTTCATATTAACTACGGTTTTTTAGTAAAAATACACAGGTGATTATTGAAAATCTCGCGCGCTGATTGGTCGAGAAACTAACTCACACCATCACACGATAATCACCTCCAGCGATAATCCAAAATGGCGGCCAGCCGCTTTGTTAATGTAACCGGAAAAAAATGCCTTTTTATCTTCTTTTTTTTCTTTTTTTCTTTTGAAAGAATCACCTGTGTATTTATACTAAAACAATTATTTGTCTCAGCCTCAGTGAATATCGGAGAATATTTACCTCGCCGCTCGAAAACTCTCGTCTCGGTATAAAATATTCCCCGATATTCACTTCAGCTAATAATTGTTAATATAGCATGACCTGGCCTTGCTGATATATATAGCAGTTCAAAATAAAGTGTTTTAAATTATTTTTAACTATCGAGATATAGATAATGTATTGACTTTTAGTTGTTTATTTTGACTTCCGTATAAATACATTTTGATGGATGCACGTGCTCCACTGTATCTACCACCGAACATGACATATATTTCTGTGTCATGATGATTCTTAATTAGTTTACTGAAGTAAACAACGAGTCGTGTATTCGTTTTTTAAGCGTTTTAGTGTGGACGGTTAAAAAACGCTATAAAAACGCTAGTGTGGACGCGAAGCAATCGATGCGTTTTCGGTAAGTGAAGTGTTTTCGAATCCGTAGCTTCTTATGACTCACGTCTCTAGCGAGACTGTGCTATTTTTGGCTCGTCGGAATGACCCTTGATATAACAGCTACAAAGATAGAATTTATGGTGTTTAGTTTAATAAAAAAGGCAAGAATAGGCAATAAGTAAGGGGAAAAAAAAAAACAAAAAAACCCCAGACTTTTAAGGAATCGAAAAAATTAATGGAGGAATATTGAATAGATAAAATATTTAGACAATCAAATAGCTACAAAATGAAGCGTTGAAAAGTCTTTTAATATTTTGCCAAAAAAGACAATAGAATAAATACATTCAGTTAACAGAAAAATGCATTCAACTGACATTCAGTTCACACTTATTTTTTAAGCATTATAAATTGTATATTAATAGGTCATGATAATAATTATTTATATATAAATTAAAGGTCAAGTTTGTTTCTCTTTACCTGTCGCTTTTAAAAGCTAAGGTTACTCACAATATAAGGATAGAAAGATAGTTCAGTATTTATCCCTAAAAGATACACCATATGGAAAAAGGAAGCAGTCAGTGCAACTTGTCTGTGCTGCTGTTGGGTGACATCTTTTATCTGCAACTTAATGAAATGATGGGAAAAAGTGTTAGTTTTATAAAAAGAAGATATTTATTGGCATGGAATTCAAATAATGAATAAAGTTCCAAATAATGATCCCACTTTAGAATTATGAGGACATTATTGGTCCAAAATATGGTGTCAAGCAAACGATATCCATGGTTATATTGTCAAGAGTGTCGAAACAGTGGTTGATCAAGACAGAATGATGTATGTGATTTAGAAAGGATGCGTTCAGCAGTTGTTCAAGTGCAGATGGCAATGATTACAAACGTGTATTGTCCCATATTGGTCTATGTCAACTGTGTTGGTCAAAACGGGATAATGCATGTTTGTTGGCTAATGATTAATGTGTGCAACAGTGATTCAAATGAAAATGGCCAATTAACAACGACTAACACCTATAGCTGTACATGTATAGTCATAGTATATATACAGGAGCGGATACAGGAATTTTAGAAGTTGGGAGATTATTACAGGAATTCGAGGAAAAGAAGGGTGCACCTATTTTACCACCCCTGGATCCGCCCCTGATATAGTATATAGCATACATAGTTTTATATTGTTTTAAAAATAAGAAGCAAAACTGAAGGAATATAAGCATGGCATGTGGGGTCGGTCTTACACAGGGATGGTCATTGCAGAAAAAATTAGGCATTCTTGTGCGCTTTTATCTCTTTTAAAGCAAGGACCAAAATCATCAAAATCATGAAAAATTACCAGTGTATGAAAACTTGTAATCGAACCGGCTGTTTATAGCTACTATGGTTTAGCTCTTGTACACTTAAATAAGCTACGAATTTAAATGAGGCAAGGATGACCAAAAAAGGTCTACATAACCTTGATGTATTATCAGTGGAGCCTGTGTTGCAAGCGTAAAATTATTAAGCTTAACTCAGCTGAAAACCAGAAAAGCGTCTACTAATTTTGAACCATCTTTAGGCAATTATCAGTGTGCCTTTGCTATGCTATTACTGTCTTTGCTAACTGGGAGGGGGAAAAAACGTCTATTTTACTATGTAACGCCTGTTTTGGATTAGCTGCTGTTGTTTGATCCAGACTCACTAGATTACTGAGTTATCAGCAGACTAGATAAGCCGTGAACCAAGGGAGCATAAATATTTATGCTTGACTGAACTTATTTAAGTAGCTAAGACTTAAAGGATCATGCAAAGAAGCTTCAGAATGTACCTTTTGTTATGGGACGACCGCTCTCGGTACGAGCTACGGGATCTTTATTCTACTTTCTCTTCTTCTTCTCTATTCTTCACTCTTCTATACTCTTCTTCAGATCTCTCCTATGCTCTCTTCTTCTGACTAAAACTAATTACATGAGCTCTATTTATAATAACTTCGTGACATGTGTCAATCTACAATCAATATGATATTATCGCTGAGTCTTGATTGGCTAATGGAAATAGTAAATTCCTAAGTGTGATATCTTATTAAAGAATAATACGAGTGAAAATCATAGAACTAAACATAGCTTAAACTAAAGATAATATATGAATATATATGGTAAACGTATAGAAAGGTCTACGAGGGATATCTATATCTAATAGTGCTAAAATAACTAAGCAAAGGGATCAGAAAGAATGTGTAGGGCGTAACCAGAGGTGTACATGCTAATTGGAGTAGCTAAGAAGTTTACTTGCAAATTCAAAGCATACTATCATCTAAACTTGTGCGTGATGGTAGCCTTACTGAAATCTTATATCGGTATTTTTTAATAACTAATTGATCGTTCTTTATCTTGTTTTCATACRATAAGAAATAGTAATTAGAAAACTGATGTCTAGCTTAGTCTGTAAAAACATTAATTTTCTCTCTCATAACACTTTTATTACATTATACAAAGAAATCCTTAGACTGCTTGCTGTTTAACTACTTATAAATTGTCGCGTGAAGTTCGTGAGTCAAGCTAAACTACCTGTCAGTCAAGACTAGTTAACGAGAAGTTCTTAAAGTTAGAAGAAAATTTCGTATCTACAGCAAATAAATGCTGAAAAGCATCCGCTTTCATGCTTCATCTGAGTCACAACCCTGTGCCTAGGTCTAACTCTGAGATCTCCCTTAATCTGCTCGGTCTACATGTTTGTACTTTAATGATAGAAGGGTATTGCGCACTCTTAGTCCCAACGGCATTAATGAACGCATTGCTTTCAACTAACCCATTCTTTTGTCTTTGATTGTTTGTTTTTGTTTCCTTGCCTACCTTGCTCTCATTGGTTTCTTTTGTCTCATTCTCATCATATAGACACTCCTTTCTACCACCTCTTTCTCTTTTACTTCGATACAAATCCGATACAATTTTATCAGTATCAATCACTCAGCCTCTTTACCTGGAAGTGTTTTTTTAATCTCTGTAACAAATTTATCTCGTCAGTATTAAACTGGTGAAGCGTTTGAGAAAATGCATTGAGTCACAATTTCATCAGTAAAATGTCTCCCTGTTGTTCAACAAAATCCAGGGTCTGCACTGACAATTATGAATGTATGTTTATAAATATAATACACAAGTTCAAAATTATCATTACTAGTACCGTGAATTTTTAACAGCCGCCATTATTCAGCACCTCTCTATCAATATGTTATTCACTATGTTTGTACTTTATATGACTGAGGACACTCGAACCGTTAACACTTCGCGTTTTTTCCAGAATATCGTTTCCTGGATTTTATACTCTTTCAAAACCTCTAAAATGAAGCATTGAATTCGAATTCAGCGAATGTTCAAAATTATTTCCAATCTTTTGGTTCAAGGGATGATTTACAGTAAGAATTTTAAAAAGTGACCCAACTCAAAGTGTCAGTGTTCACTAAATGCCCTCATCACTGTAAAAGATAACTGTTAATGTCTTTAACTTTCGCACCCATTTTTTTAAAAAAGTCCCACTTCCCCATGTCCAAATCCCAAACTGTTTTTTTTTAAAAAGTTCTTCATTCCCAATTACCTAAATCCCATTTTTCCAGTGCAAAATAGGCAGATCCCAGTTTCCACTTTACCCCTTCATAAGCCTTGCTTTTCATGGTAATGAATCGCATTTGACCAGATCAAAATAGAAAATTGAGGAAAGAGGGGCAATTTTATTTTTCTGCGTTTACAATTGTTTCAACGCTAAACAAGATCTAGATCTAGTGTCTTGTGAAAAACTGAAATTGCCGGAATAGTGAAAAATCTTGACTCGTACAGTTTGAGTTCGCAATATACTGAGTATAAGATTTTAATTAACAATTATTCGACGAAGGCGAAGTGAATATCGGGGAATAATAACCGAAGCTAAGTTGAGGTTATTATTCCCGATATTCACTGAGCCTGAGGTGAATAATTGTTTTAGTATAAATACGCAGGTGATTCTTTTTAAAAGAAAAGAAGAAGATAAAAGACGCATTTAAAACAACAAAGCGGCTGGCCGCCATTTTTTAATTATCGCTGTAGGTGATTATCGTGTGATAATCTGAGTTTCTCGACCAATCAGCGCGCGAAAATTTTCAATAATCACCTATGTATTTATACTAAAACATTTTAACGCAAAAAGTTGCATGATAGTAAGCATTCCTAAAATCCATGACTATTCTTGTAAGTAGACCAAATGTATACGCATTACTGGTACTCAATAGTTGAATAACGCACAGAACAAGAAAGATGGCAACAAAATATCAAATATTTCTAAAAACTGAAATATAAAAAAATGGACACAACACACGAGTGATCACAACAACTCTCATTTCCAATCTTGTGGTTCAAGGGTTAATTTACGACAACTCTTATTTCTATTTTTTTGGTTCAAGGGTTGATTTACAGTATGTATTTTAAAAATTAAATGTGATAAATCAACTTGAAGCGTTTACGATTCGAGTGTCCTCACTGTAGTTTGATGTCTACCGAGCCTAAATTCACTGTCTGTGCATTACCCTTTGATGTTTCCGCTCTCAAATATCCTAGGCTCTCCATTAAGACCATGGGGATATGTTATCCCTACCACTCAGGGCCTTCTTCAGTCTTACTGGGAAGTTGCAGTCCAGCTTTTTTTTACACCGAAGAGCTCCTAAGTATATGTTTACTACTCATTGTTTTTACATCTAATTGTAAGGTCATTTTCATATGAAAATAACAAGTAACAAATAGCAATAAATTAGAAGAAAAAGCATTTTCGATTCTAAAGATCCGCTCTATACTGTTTTAGTATATACCAAGATAATTTCAAAAATGTCAGTTTATACCTTAAAAACAAGAATATAATAATTACACCTGTTTTGCTCAAAAGAAATTATTAATTCCTGTTATTTATTTGTTATTCTTATTTGCCAACGTGTTTGCAATAAGATGTATCTACTGACAAACAAAAGAAATTAACTTTTTAGCATTTTGTGATAACTTATCACAGTAGACCTAAAAATCATCTCCCCTGTTAGGTTGCATTATCTTTTCATTGTAGAAAAAAAGTTGCTTCGATAATTCAACTTACATGTAAGTTTTACTCCAAGAATGCTTTATTCCTTTGGATACAGTTTTTTATTATTCACGTAGTTTTTTATATGACATACTATTCGTTGCCTCAGGACCTGTTCAGTCTGCATTTGAGTTGTATATCGATAATAAATTATCTAAATATCTTACAACACACGATAAATTCGGTTTCGAACTTAAATATTTTATCTCCATTTCAGTGAAAAAACGAAAGATTATTGTTACTTAGAATAATATTTACAGAAATTAGCAAATTAACTGTTTATAGCGCTCTACATATTCAAAGCTCACCGTTGTTTTCATAAAAGTCAGACGCTTGGGAATGCCTTCATAGAAGGTTATAATATTCCTCCCCTTTACCGCTGACCCTCATTTGCGCACAATTATTTGTAAACTCAAAGACTCGATATGATCGATTAATGCTAGTATGTCGTTATCTTTTCAAATTGTCTATGATGTCTAAGAAGGCAGGATTGCATTAAAGTGCTATAGGTAAGCCAAGCACTAGGCTCTACCCCTTCCATTCTACACC